TGTCATTGAACCAATACCAGGCAGTTTTGACTATTGTGGCTGTATAGTAGGTTTTGAGATCCGGCAATGTGAGACCTCCTACTTTGTTTTTCTTCTTCATCAAGTGCCTCTTATCTTAATACATTTCTTCATCTATGCCTATTCCCATTTGGTATAAAAACTATGAGTTCAGCTTTGGACAAATCTCTCTCTTCCTTTCACTCATACCTAAAGAGACTAGAAGAAGTAAAGAGAATGAAATGATAAGTAAAATAGAGAGGGCTGGCTTCCATAGTGTACATGAGAAATTGTCAGTGTGTGAACAAACATGGCTCTGACAATGGAAAGAAAGGGACAACTATAGAGGTAGAAATATATAGCATAGACTGAATTTAGACAGAGTAGTTGTATAAAAGAGAAGGTAAAGAATTATAAAATTGTATTTTCTCTTCTGGTTTAAGTATTTAATTCCATAAAACTGACTACAGACTTTGAAAAAGTTTGTATGTTGTGGTGGCAGAGATGATGGATTGAGTTTGGTATGTTGAGTTTATGGAGTGTATTTAATTCCATAAAACTGGCTACAGACTTTGCCTTCAAGTTAATTCCAACTCATAGTGAACCTATGAGACAGAGTAGAACTGCCCAATAGGATTTCAAAGGCTGTACATCTTTATAGAAAAAGACTGCCTCATTTTTCTCCTGTGGAGCTGCTGTTGGGTTCAAATCACCAGCCTTTTGGTTGGCAGCAGAATGCTTTAGCCACTGAACCACCAGAACTCCTTTTGACTACAAAGGAAAGAAATAAAATCTAGGACAAGAAGGATAAAGTTACAGTTTGCTTCTGTTAGATGAATCCTGTCTAATAATCAGAGAATGCTTTCTGTCTTAAGAATGATATGCTGGAACATGTTGGAAACAAGTTGAAATTTTTCTCATGAGCTATTTCCCTGAAACTCAGGGACCTAGTACCCAATATCATACTAAACTTAAAAATACATCCCTGTTCCAGAAACATACTCTCCCTCTCTGGAATCTTTAAATGGCTTTCCTGGGTAGAATAGATGATTTCAATCACGTGCTTTCATTAAGACTCAGTCCCAAGCCAGCTGGTGGTTTGAGATGCTTAGACCTGGCTTCTGAAGAAATGGATCTCATGAGGAACCAAGTCTTACTTCACCATATGGTGCTACTGGGTTCTAGTAGTTGAGATGTAGAGAACAGGACTTGAACCTGAGTGGAAATTCAAAAATTCAAACCTAGCTCTATCTACTTGACTACATATTACTTTATACTAATCCATCACCCTGAAAGAATATTATATTGGTAAATATCCTTACCTTGAAACTTTCTACAATTTCTTAACAAAATTGCACTATTCTCTTCCTTCTTAATTCTCTTAAACTCAACTCTTCTAGTTGATATATGTGTAAATTTGTACAACTGATTTACTCTTTCTATCCTATCTATTCAATGAATACTTATTTAACAACAGTATAGCTGGCACTGGATTAATCACCAGGGATAAAATGGTGACTAACTTAACTATGGTTTCTCCATTCAATAAGAATAAAGTTACAGTTTGTTGTTAGCAATAATGTTACATTACACTATCCCTGGCTTTCCATTTTTCATAAAATAAAGCCAAACTTCTTGAGAATTAAACTCAAGTCAATTAATTCAAGGTCATATAAAATCTGATTCCTTTATTCTTTTCCAGTTTATTTTTGAATTTTTTTTTTTTTTTTTTTTGGAGTGAGTGTTGCAGTGACAGTCATCATAGACTGTCCCTGGGAGGTTTGTGATTCTGGAGTCAAAGTGAAAACAGTTGGCTTCATTGTGTGATTTTTTTTCTTCCCCCTTCATTTCCTGGGTAGAGACATAGAGAAGGGAAATAGGTTCAGCCCAGTGTGCTGTATATTCTCTACTTAACTCCAGATCCACTCCCTCCCTCTTTGTCCTGCTCTCTGCAAGGTGGCTGATGCTTGTGGCTTATTACAGCTGGGTACCTGGCCAGACTCTCCAGTTTCCAGTTCAGATAATAAGCAGAAGATCAACATTGGGAAAGAGGAGCTGAGGTATTCAGCCCCTTCCCTCGATGCCGTTATAACAGTGGCTATATTTCTCTATAGCCAGAGATCCTTTTGCAAAGCCCCTCTTCCACAACTCCAGCTCTCACAAGATTCAACTGATATTGCTGCCTCACCCTGTTCTTCAGGCCTGGGGGTTGTAGCACCTTCCTGTTCTTGCTATAACCTCTAAGTGCTTCTCCATCTTTTTTGGCTTCCCTTGACCTGCCAACACCTCTATAAATTGCCCCATTACTAAATTCTTTTGGTATGCTGTTTCTTGCTTAGATCTGATGATATAGTAAAGATGTAGACCCAGACATGGACCCTGATACAGACCCTCAAATGAGATTCTAGGATTGAGTTACTCAAGTATTTGATGAGCAGGTAGAAACCCATTACCAGGACAAAACAGAAAATTAGTGAAATGTGATGTGGGGTGGCATCTCAATAATTCACATTATTACCAATGTGGCATGGGATGGAGTGCAGGTGAAGGGCATCTCTGAGAGATTTAGGCGTTATGGTGAGAAAGTCTGTAGGGTGAGCTATCTGAGTTAAATTCCCAGTCACATCACTTACTAGCTCTGTTATTTGGGCAAATCTCTTATTCACTTTGGGTCTCAGTTTCCTTACTTGACGTGAATAATAGTGCACCTATCTCATAGGATTATTCTAAGAATTAAAACAGTCTATATAGAAATAACACTTAGAACAGTGCTAGGCTTATAGTTATCATTATGTAAGTATTATCTATATTGCAGATTTTACACACACCTGCAATTAATTCATTCATATTCCCATGTTTTGTCCATGATAAAAACTCCCCACACACACTCCTCAGGCTTTCTTTCCAGTTGGAACCAACTAGAAAATGTGAAACTCTGCCTCTAGTGCTTATTTATTCCATGTATATATTTTTTTCTTATTATATTTTCATAAGCATGAAGAGGTAGAGATTATTAGCTAGAGAAAGATGAATTGTAGAAGTTGAAAATTGATGCAGAAATAGGAAATATTCCTATTAAGATATCCGAGGAATACTCCAATTCAAAAGAAACAATAGTTTATTAAAACTGATCACATACTGGGCAACAAGTCAAATTTAACCAAAATATTTTACATCATGTAGACATTATATTTTGACAATAATGCTGCTAAATAAAAAATCAGTAATGAAACTATACCTTTGTAAAATTCCTTTGTATTCTAAATAATTTTGAGTTAAAGAATAATAATGATAAAATTATAAAATAGAACTGAGTAATAATAAAATACTAAATATCAATGCCTATTTACCATATCAACACTATTTGTGTTTATAATAAAACATACACACTGGAAAGCTTAGAGTACAAGAAAACACTCAACTATGCCACCAGAGCTCCCAGGGTCAAGGAAGTTGTTTTTAAATATCTCACAGGAAAACTTACAAGAGCATACCAAAAAAAACTAAACCCACTGCCATGGAGTCAGATCCCACTCAAAGCAACCCCTCTTTGGTTTTCAGAGGAGGTATCACTATGGAAGTACATTGCCCAAGCCTCCTTCCTTCTGGTTAGCAGTCAAATGCCTTTGGCACTACACCACCAGAGCTCCCACAAGAGCATAAGGTCATATTAAATTGTAACTACTCCTGCAATAAAAACAGCTTATATTCACTCTCCCTAGCCCACCCAATGTGCCAGGTAAATTAAAGACATAACACTCAAGTTCTGTAACAGAAAATTATTTATTAGGAGTAAAATTTACAAAAAAATAAAAAAGTAGAAACACTAGCCAGCCACTCAACCATTTTACTGATATGAAACACAAGATAAGATACTCTCATCACCTGGGAATCCTACCTTAAGGCAGCAAAGACCTGACTTCTGGGACTGTGAAAAAAAAAAAAAAAAAAGTGTTACTTTTTATGGACACAAAAGAGTTAAGCCAAGTCTTAAGGCAACATTCAACAAACAGGATGTAATCCACTAATAGTTATAGTCCTCTTGCTAAATTGAACCCAGTTCCTGTTAGCAGAAATGGTGATCTGATTTACATATACCCATACCCAACACTTCAGAAACAGAAATTAATTTTCTAATTGACAATACTATTTTCACATTTCTCAATAAAACACTGTTTCACAGAACTAGAATCTAAAACATTTTAGAGTTCTTAGACGCTGATAATTGTATGATTGATTTGTTTTATTAAATTAATAGTCACCACACATACACATGTTGAATAGTTGGTCATATCCCTTCTTTATCCTAAGGAAAAAAATAAATAAATTTTTTAATCCAAACATCCATATATATTTTTTCCTTGAAAATAAGAATCACATCTTATTATTCCCAGAACCTATTAAAGATCCTACAGAACTTAATTTAAAAATAAATAAATAAATAACACCCATATTGCAATGGAAAAATGTTTTCTCACTCTATCACTCTCTGGTGCTTTGCGAGAGACCTGACTTCAAACCCAGAAGATCAGTGACCTTGAGCTCACAGCAATAGAGAGTTTGAAGATACCGTAGGCCAGGCAAATATCTAGAGTTCCCATTTCCATTGCAAGTGATTCTGCTGAGTCAGTTCAGAGGGAGGTTAAAAATGATGATACATCCAGAGCATGAATCTATTTTTCCCATATCCGATTCCCTCTTACTCTGAGTGGGGAAATGTTGGGGTCTGGAGCAAAAAAAAAAAAAAACAGAAGAAGAATAGGAAAAATATTCACAAGTTCAGCTAGCCAGGTACGTCACATTAGGACATAAGGACAAATACCCATGGGTGTTCTTTACCATGAGACTAATAGAACTGGAAAGACTACTCAGTGTGAAAAGGCCTCTATCTACATCATCTAAACCATTCATGGGCTCCTGGCAGTCTTCTTGGAAGGTGTCTCCACAGAAAATTATTAGAATGTCTTTAGATTGTTGCTTTTATATAAAATAGCCTGAGCACCCGCTGCTGGATCTGCCGAGTCTTCACCCCATAGACAAGAGGATTGAGTGCAGGTGGTACAAGGAGGTAAAGTGTGGCCAAAAGAACATGGATGTGATGAGGTACGTGCTGGCCAAAACGGTGAGTAAGGAAGGAGAATATTCCAGGGACGTAGAAGATCAGAATGACACATACATGGGACCCACATGTGCTAAAAGCCTTAAGTCGGGCCTCAGCCCCTGGTACCTTTAGAACTGCCTGGAGAATGAGAGCATAAGAAATACCAATGACCAAAACATCTAGTCCAACCACAAGCAGTGCCACTGCCAGCCCATAGGCTCGGTTCACTGTAGTGTCTGAGCAGGCAAGTTTTACCAAAGCCATATGTTCACAGTAAGCATGGCCTATGATAGTAGCCCCGCAGAAGATGAGGCGTCCCAGCAAGATGGGGAAGGGGGTTAGTAGGATTAATCCTCGCACCAGCACTGCCACTCCAATGTGCCCTATGACTTCTGGATGCAGGATGGTGGAATGGTGCAGAGGGTGACAAATGGCTACATAACGATCTAGAGCCATGGCCACAAGCACTCCTGACTCCATGGAGGAGAATGCATGAATGAAGAACATCTGGATCAAGCATACAGTATAGCCAATATCATGGGCATGAACCAGGAGTACTGCAAGGGCTTTAGGTGCAGTAGAGGAGGCCAGAACCAGGTCAATGGTGGCAAGCATGGCCAAGAAGAGGTACATGGGCTGGTGCAGGGATGGATCAGTCCAGATGATGAAGAGAATGGTGACATTTCCCACCAGAGCAAGTGTGTAAAGGATGCCCAGGAGCAATGCTATCCAGTGCTGGCTTTCCTCCAAACCTGGAATACCTACCAGGAAAAAAGAAGGCTGAAGAAGCCTCAAGCTGGAATTGCTAAGGGCCATCATCAATGACTTAGAGACAGGGTTGAAAATATACAAAAGTCATGATTTCTCCACTCTTGATGAGTTCTCGCACTGTCCAGAGCTGGGTACCATCTTCTTGAGAAGAATGTAGAGGTTTAAACTGCAACAAAGAGAATAAAATTAGATACATGAAAGAGAATTTCCTTTCACTAAGATATTTTTAAAGATTAAATATCATATGTCTGGATTAGTAATTAAGAGTAAATATATGATGCTTTGGGAGAGATACATAAACTCTACTATTCAATTGCTTTTCTCTTGGAAGTTTCGATTCTAAAGGATTCTCTTTATTCACCTTTTGTCATTACTGAACAAGACAAATAAGTGTGCTATTTTTAAAATTAGTCTCTTTGATTCCATGGCATAGCACTCTACAGTCATTCCTCCTACATTCCCAATCGACAACCTCAGTCCCTTTGAGTTCTTCTCCAACTGCTTATCCATTACACACTGTCTATCCCAGAGTTCCAGCACCTTCTCTCATCCCTATTCTATACTTTACTCTGACTGAGTTCACTCGTTCCCATGGTTTTTACTATTTGTGTACTTTCATATCCTCCATATCTTTGTTTAGAAATCAAGTATCTTGCTGAAACACAAGTCCATCTTTTCAGTTCCCTTTTATACTACATACACAATATATTCAAAACTGAATTAACTCATCAATAATCCTCCAAATTCAACAAGACAGAAAACAGCAAATGCTGGTGAGAGTGTGGAGAGATTGGAACACTGCTGATAGAACTAGAAAATGATACAATCACTGGAAAATGGTATGGTGCTTTCTTAAAAAGTTGGGAATAGAAATGTCATTTGATCCATCAATCCCACTACCAGGACCATATCCTAAAGAGGTGAGATACAGGACATGGATATATTTATGCACACCCATGTTCATAGCACCACTATTCACAATAATAAAGAGATGGAAACAACCTAAGTGCCCATCAACAGATGAATGGATAACCAAACTATGGTGCACACACACAATGGAATACTGTTGTTGTTGTTATGTGCTGTAGAGTCAGACCCGACTCTAGTGGCCCCTCCTTGGGTTTCTGATTGTTCAGTGTTCCAATCTGTCCACACTCTCACTAGCATTTGCTGTTTTCTGTCTTGTTGAATTTGGAGGATTATTGATGAGTTAATTCAGTTTTGAATATATTGTGTATGTGGTAGAAGGAAGATGTAGATTGTCCCATCTTCCTTCCAAGGAGTGGCTGGTGGGTTTCAAGTGCCAGCCTTCTGGTTAGCAGTCAAATGAAGAATTTGTGAATCACCTCAAAATGTGGATGAACTTGAAGGACATTATGCTAAGTGAAATAAATCAATCACAAAAGGACAAATATTGTTTGAGTCCAATATCATAAAAAGTCGAGGAAAGGTTTACACAAGAAAGGAAATTTTCTTTGTTGGTTACCAAGGATGGGAGGGAAAAGGTGGGAAAATTACTGACTAGTTAAGAGACAGGAGCTCTGGTGGCGTAGTGCCTAAGGCATTTGACTGCTAATCAGGAGCCTGGCGCTTCAAACCCACCAGCCACTCCTATGAAATAAAATGTATATGAACTGTTGAATATAAAACAAATCTGCTTTGTAAAATAGCACCCAACTCACAATAAAAACTAAAAAAAAAAGGGGAAAAAAATAGTTACTTATTAAAAGGAAGACTGGGCAATCTACTTCTATAGTGATACCACCTTGGAAGCCCAAGGAGGGGTCACTATGAGTCAGATCCAACTCAACAGCAGTAAGTTTGGTTTTTCTTGGGTTGTTTTTTTTTTTTCTTTTTTTTAGGGTTAAGAGATATGTGGATTTAAAGTGACTGAGGGTGCAGCCATTTTGAATGTTTTAAGTGGCAAACATTTTGGATTTTAAAGTGATAGCATTCTCATTCAGATTCCAGGGACCTAAGAACAGGCACTGTTTGCCAGGGGCAGCAAGGATATAGAGGGGCTGACAACAGGAGACAGGTGATGAGTGTATAAGTGCTGTCAACTAGTGAATAGAGGAGCACAGCACAGTACCCTGCCTGTATAGATAACATACAAACAAAACAAAGAAAATGAAAATTGTGGCCAAGTCACTCCAACATATAATCACCGATTAAATATAAGCACAAAAATGTCACAATGCCTCGGAAACAACAGAGCATCACAGTCCACACAAAGGAGCAAGATAAAGCAGGAGAAACAAGGGACCAAGATACAGACCCAAAACACATCTCTGAGGAAGACGCAGCATTGGAACTCCTTGACAAAGAATTCATAAGAATTATATTTAGATATCTTCACAGGATTGAGAGACAGACCAAGGAAAACACAGACAAAACCCTAGAATAATTTTGGAAGAAAATTCAAGAACAAAATGACAAAATAAATGAAAAATTAGAAATGATTCTAAATCTACAGATATAAATCCAAAAGATTAATACTAAATTATTAGAAATAGATAACACATTGAAAGGGCAATGGAGTAGAACTGATACAATGGAAGATAGAATTAATGAGATTGAAGACAAATACCTGAATACTTCTTTGGAAAGGGATCAATTAGAAAAAAGATCAAAACAAAATGAAGCAAGTTTAAGGTTCATGTGGGATACCATCAAAAGGAATAAACTACGTGTCATTGGAATTCCAGAACAAGAAGAGAAAAATGAAACCATTGAGAAAATTGTCCAAGATTTGTTGGAAGAGAACTTCCCTGATACAATGAAAGATGAGAATACATCCATTCAGGAAGTCCAACGATCCCCAAATAAGATAGACCCCAAAAGAAAAACACCAAGACGTATCATCATCAAATTCACCAAAACCAAAGACAAAGAAAGAATCATGAGAGCAGCACAGGAAAAATGAAAAGTTACCTACAAGGGGCAACCAATAAGACTAAGCTCAGATTTCTCAACAGAAACCATGAAGTCGAGAAGACAGTGGGATGGTATATATAAAACACTGAAAGAGAAAAATTTCCAACCAAGAATTATGTACCCAGCAAAACTATCCCTCAAGTATGATGGTGAAATTAAGACATTTCCAGATAAGCAGAAATTAAGGGAATTTGTAAATCCAGACCAACCTTACAAGAGATGCTGAAAGGGAGCCCTTTGGACAGAGAAGCAACTACAAACCAAAATGAGGGGGAAAATATCTGTGTCATTGCAAAACTTCTAGATGGTAGGGAAGTCAAGACAACTACAAGATAGAACGGACTGTTCTAAACTTAGGAAGAAAACTATAAATCACAGGGTAACCTCAAAGAAAAACGATAAACCTTCACATCAAAATAAAAAAGAGGACCAGCATAAATATTCAGCAAATACTAAAACAATAGCAATGAAGGAAGTGATAACATGATTCACAAACAAAAGGAGCTCAGCATAGAAAATTATATGGAACAAAGAAATCGACACAATGAAAAAGCACATGACAAAAATGTATTTGCTGATAATTCATATTTGCTGATAATTACATATCTGGCAAGGGACTTATCTCTAAGACTGATGGAAAACTCCAATGTCTCAACACCAAAGGAATTAAAAATCCAATTGAAAAATGGGCAGAAGACATGAATAGACACTTCACCAAGGAGGACATTCAGGTGGTCAGCTGATACATGAAAAAATGCTCACAATCATTGGCCATCAGAGAAATATAAATCAAAACAACAATGAGATACACCGTCTCACCCCAGCACTGATGGCAAAGTTCAATGAGACAGAAAATAACAAATGCTGGTGGGGATGTGGAGAGATTGGGACACTCATACACTGCTGGTGAGACTGTGAAGTGACACAACCACTGTGGAAAGCAATATGGTGATTCCTTAGAAAGTTGGAATTGGAGATACCATTTGACCCAGCAATCCCATTACT